TCCCTTCTCCGGGAACCCTCCATGAAAGAAATTAGGAGAGTAAGTACTCGGAGGAGGGCTTTCTCTGCGGTGGCACCCAACCTATGGAATTCACTCCCCAAAGAGGTCCGCCTGGCACCGTCGTTACTGGTTTTTCGGCGCCAGGTAAAGACCTTTTTATTTAAACATCATTTGAATTGTTAAAACATATGATCTGGCCAGGGCAACTTCTTCTTCCTTCTCTTTCTCCTCCTATATTTTTATTTACTTAAGTTATACTGATAATTTTAATCTTATATTTGTAAACCAATGTATTTTTTGTATTTTGTATTTAATGGTAATTTATTATGTTCTATTGTATTTCATTGTATTTTATCGTGTTGTAAGCCGCCCCGAGGTTTCGGCAAGGGGCGGCATAGAAATGTTAATAATAATAATAATAATAATAATAATAATAATAATAATAATAATAATTGCTACTACTGAGCTTCGGTTTGTTAGCCCTCATCCAGTCCATTGTTGCAACCAGGCACTGATTTAGCATATCCACAGCCTTACCTAATGGAAATGAGAAGGAGAAATAGAACTGTGTGTCATCAGTATACTGACAGCAACACACTTCAAAACTCTGGATGACCCCATTCAACAATTCTGTGTAGATGCTGAAGAGCATGGGAGACAAAACTGATCTCTGAGGAATCCCATACTGGGGAGTCCATTGGACCAAGCAGTATTCCCCAAACACCATCTTCTGGAGTTGGCCATCTAAGTAGAGGCAGAACTGCTGTAATACTGCCCCCCATTCCGATTCAGACACTTGCACCAGAAACATAATGTTGTCAATGTTACCAAACGGCATTGAGAGATCCAGGAGTATCAAGAGGGTCACACATTCCTGTCTCTTTCCTGGCAATAAAGTTTCTCTGCCAAAACCTGCACTTGAAATGGATCCAGATCATCAGTCACATCCAGGAGTTCCTGGAGCTTGTTTGCCACCACCCACTCAAGGACCTTCCCACCACCCTAAATTTGTTAAGATCTTCTCGGTCCAGAGAGAATTGCTTTAGGAGTGATCTCACTTCTGCCTCTTTGAGACAACATAGGACTACTTTTTCTTACAAGTAGGCACTCATCGTCTTTCATCTTGCTGTTCCTGCTAGTTTTTATAGGCCAGAAGGGGAGAGTATCCAGTATGGAAGGGGCTGCACAAAATTATTGAAGTGCCTAGCAAAAATGTTACAGCAGGCCTCAGATAAGTCTGTACAGGTCCAGCATGTAATAAACTTTAGATAACCCTGAAATGCTCTGATGGGTGGCAGATAAAAGACTGAAAATAGGCCATGAGATGTTGCTTGTTTGCTTCCCGGAGTGTGCCCAGTGTAGGCTCATGCCTGGGGGACCTCAGCATTGCTACTGAGATAACCTCTGTCAGTGAGCTAGGGAAACTGCTGGATAGCTGAGTGGCTGGTGCACCAGCAGAGTCCCCAGTCTGTCCTGCTGGCCCAGCACAAGATGCAAAGATTGCACATGAGTAGCTAGGCAGAAAACCAGAAGAGAGAGAGAAATGCTTATAGACCATGCCCGGCCTTCATGCCTCTAGTCTACCCCAGTGCTGAACCAAGAACTAATTAGTCCCCGTTTGCTTATTCAGTTCTTGGTTAAACATGGCAGAGTAGCAGTCTAATCTACCCCATTGGAGATTTAAAAGATAGTGGGCACAGCCCAGTCCAGTCCTGCTTATCTGAGTTTTTGGTTGTGATGTGCTATCAAGTTTTCTCTGACTTGCAGACATCCTATGAATGGAAGCTCTCCAAAATGTTCTATCCATGACCGCCCTGTTCAGCTCTTGTACATTTCAGGCTGTGGCTTCCTTTATGGAGTCGATCCATCTCATATTTGATCTTCCTTTTTTTCTTTAGCCTTTGACTTGCCCTGGCATAATTGTCTTCTCCAGTGAGTCTTGCCTCCTCATGATGTGCCCAAAGTATGATAGCCACAGCTTTGTCATTTTTGCTTCAAAGAAAAGCTCTGGCTTGATTTGATCTAGGACCTACTTGTTCATCTTTCTGTCAGTCCAGAGTATTCAGAAAGTTCTCCCTTCAGCACCATGTTTCAAATGTCTCAATTTTCTTCCTCAGCTTTTTTTCACTGTCCAGCTTTCACAACCCTACAAAGTGATCAGCAATACAATAGTACAGATTATCTTAGCCTCAGTCTCCTTATATTTATAATCCTTATCCTTGCTGATCTTGCCTAGTTTCTTTGTTTTGCCTAGTTTTCAGTCTTCTTTGTGTTTCTTTGCTCAACCATCTCCATTTGAATTGAACGAAAGTATGGAAAAACTTTCACAATTTCTATTTCTTCATTGTTATCAGTAAAGGTTCATAATTCTTCTGTAGTCATAAGCTTTGTTTCTTCATATTTTTAAGAATGTTCTTAATAGTCTTCTTTCATTTTCACTAGGAGTCATTTCAAATCATTTCTTTCTACCAGTAGTATGGTCTCATCTACACTTCTTAAACTGTTGATGTGTCTTCTGCATTTCACATGCATAATTTGAAATTTGGATTTGGATTAAAATTTGGATTTGAAAATACCTGGTTTTGACTGGATTGTGCCCACTTATTCCAACCGAACAATTCACTTGCTTTTTTATTGCTAGAAGGTAGTTTGCTGAGAACTACAGAATATGTTACATTTTGATGCAGACTGGGAGAAAGTTCATACATACCGTAGTTACTTTTTTAGCAGAGAGAAGAGAAGAGAGAGAGAGAGATTACATCTGTCTATGTCTGTACTGAATTTTTATCCATTAGCCTCAGATCCACCAACCAATTGATCCTAAGCATGTTCATTAGAAAGCAGTCTCACTGAGTACATTGGGACTAAGTCCTTGGCAGAGTGCTTAGAATTTCAGCCCTAGGATTAGCTTTAAAATACACCAGTTAAAGTGAAAGTCATTCAGTGTGCTATTCTGGTTGAAACATATCTAAGCCAGCTGCATGGGTATGATCACATATTTGTGTGAACCTGTGCTTACTTGCATAGGAGGGAGTCCTACTGAATTCCGAGGGACTTATTTCCCAGGCAATGTACATAGGATGGGACTGCAAAAAAGGCTAACACCAGGAAAGATGGGAAATGTCTGTAGGGAAGCTGGGGAATCCACACTGACAGCTGCTATTTTAAGATAGTGATTTGTCTTCTTCTTTTTTCTTTTAAAGACAATAAACACGAGGCATAAGGCATGCAGCAAAAGTCTTTCAACATAAGCTCAATTCCTGAAATAGAAATACACCTATATAGAGATGTAGCCTGCAGTGCTTGCATAAGTGGAGGTCACCATGAAATAGCTGCACAACTAGGTGAATGCTATTTTAAAATAAAGCTGAAAATAATGTTCATTGATAGGTGAATCGACTAAACCTTCTCACAATTTCAGGCTCTTCCCAATTAAGGACAAGATTGCCAAGAGTCACATTCCATTTGTGGTATATGCATGGAAGCAAAAGGAGTGAAATTCTTACACTGTGTGTATATGGGGCAGAGGGCCCATTTGGGGACTGAATTCTTCCTAGTATTTTAGATCTTAACAGGGTCCTGGCCTGACAGAGCCTGGGTTCAAGTAGGCTGCTCTGGCATTATCAACACACGTGGCTGCCAAAAGACCTCTTCAAAGCCTATGGCTTGCTTTGGAATTTGGCTCCCATATACAGTCATCTAAAGAGAGAGGGGCAGCAAGGAAAATGGCCTGGCCAAACAATATTTTGGAAAAGTCTGGGGGGAGGGGGCATTTCAGTGGTGGGGCTGGAGGCAAAAGGGGCTGGGCAAAAACATCAGCATATTTTAGCTAAAAGTTCCAAGTGAAGATCATTATACCTTGAGAGAGGCACTTTGGCCTTTTAAAATGGTGGGGGGATGCACAAAAGTTGAGAAACCTCCAGTCAGGGGAAGGGGGGCATAGGAAATCCCAGAGGGCTGGGTTTGACCCCGAGGCTGTGGACCTCAGGGTCAAAGTGGCAGTTTTTGCTGAGACTCTGGATGGCAGGCATGCATATAGAGAGCATCCAGAGCTGAGCTAGTCAAGAAAACTCTTCCTCCCACAGTGCGCTGAAGCTTTGATCAGGGCACAGAAAACAACAGTCACTTCAGTGTAACACATCAGTTGCATGCATGTGGGTGTGTGAAGTGACATAGGTACTTAAAATGTTTAGTGTGGCTTTGCCTTGGAACAACAGCCACTTTTTAATCACAGCCATGCTACCATTTCCCTGTCTGGCTTGGTGCAAGGGATTTTCTCCCCCTGCATAGCTTCCCAGTCCAGATGAAAACAACAGCAGCATGATGCTTTCATCCTGCTAGCACATCTGCAGTGAAAAAGCAGGCATTCGTCTTCTCTTTTTAAAAGAACAGCTATCTACAAACAAATAAGAACTATAGCAAAAGCGCGTTGCCCATATTGGATTGGGCTGTGAGGGTGTGGAATCTAAACCCTACTTGTTATGGTTGGAGGGCTGTATATGTATATATGTATAGGTATGGGTATATGTAAGCCGCCCCGAGGCTTCGGCGAATGGGGTGGCATAAAAATGTTTAAATAAATAAATAAATAAATAAATAAATAAATAAATAAATAAATAAATAAATGTGTATAGCTATAAAACTAGCATGGTGTATTCATGAAGTCTTGGACTGGGATTTGGGATCTGGGTTCTAGTCCCCACTTAGTCATTGGTGACGGGATGACTTTGGGCTGGTCATTTGACAGTGAGCCTAAGCTACCTCATTAGAGTTGCTCTGAGGATAAAACGGAGAGGAAGAGGATTCTGTAGGGTATCTTGGGCTCCTCAGAGGAGAGATGGGATATACCTGTAAGAAATAAATAATATTGTTTGTGGCTGCTATGCACTCAACATACCTTGAATTTGTGTTTTTCTCCTGTAGGAGGTCTTTTGCTTGGGAAACACCTCTTCTTACCTGCTCTTTCTCTTTTTCTCACACATTCTTCTGCCTCCTCCCAGCAGATTATAGACAGTGAGAATGAAGCGCTGCTGGCGGCTCTCACCGAGACACTGGGTGACATCCAGGAAGATGACATGGGCCTGGCTGCCTTCAGAAATATGGACGAGGGGGACATGTCCCACAGCAATGGCACATCGCCCGCCCCCTCTCCCAAACCGGTTGCCCCTGTCCCAGAGGTTGATGAGCTGTCTCTAGTAAGAACCCACTTCCTACTGTTTAAGGTGGATTTGGATGCGCCTCTGATAAGCCGGCTGCATGGGTATGATAGGAAGCCAAGGTCTGAATTTTTTCATTATAGGCTTACAATTATAACAATACAAAAGCATACATATATTTATATATATATTTATATTCCTGTTATTGTATACGTATACATGTGCTGCCTCATTGCTCTCACTTGATTTGCTCCATTGCCATCCTCATGGGTGAAGGTGTGTGATTGTGTTGGGGGTGGGTGGGCTTGAGGGGGTTACTGTGTGAACGGCTCAGGTGCCATCCTATGCCTGCTTAGGCAGAAAAAGGCCCTGTAACTCCCACAGGCCCCAGCCAGTTTGCTGGGGCCTGCTGAGAGTTGATGGATTTTTTCCTGTTTAAACATGCATAAAGGTTGTGCTGTTCAACACATCTCACATCTTTAATCATTTTAAATAAGAGCCACACGTGGTGCCATTGCTTGGGGGTTTTCCTCTCATCTCCAACATTCTCCCCTATGCCACAGAATTTGCAAATGCCGCTCTCTTGTCAGACCAGAAGCATGAGATGAACTCTCTCACTGCTTAGGCTATTCCTTAGTCTCCCCAAGCACCGGGTTAATTTCAGTTCTTTGAATCCCCGTGGGTAGGGCTGAGTGTATTCTGCAGAATTTATTTATTAACTAAAAATAAAGCTAAGACTGTGCACCATCGTATCCAAAATCTAAGAATAAGCCATTCTGAATCTCTGTATGTAAAGTGGGACAGAGGTTTATTAAATACTTTTTCTCTCTAGCAGATCTGTGACTGCTCATATATATTACATTAATGTGCAAAATGTTGCTCACTTTCACAACTTTAGTAGAGTTGGACAGTTTCGCCCCAAGGTGGGACAAACTGTCGTGCAGGTTGCTTAATTTAAGTCACGTGCCCTGATAATTAAGCTTGCAGTCGTTTACCTGGAGAAAATCCCATGCAACATAACATGGCTTCATCTCAGTAGAAACATAAAGACTTGCACTGTGGAAGTTTTGCTGAATCATTGTTCCAGCTTCTGAAATTTCTTCAGGTAGTACCCACATATTTTTAAGTACTTGAAACATGCCTTTTCCTTTCATGAAAGCCAAGATGCTCAGGAAAGCCATATTTCCACCTTTTTTCTTTGAGATTGCAGAGAAATGCAGAATATACAACACCCTGCCGGTGAGTCATGGAATGCAGGGATCTGGCCAGGCTGCAGCTCTATCTGTTTTTGATTCTCTGTGGCTTGTGTTCTATATCCCTGATTATCCCTCCTCCAAGGAAGAGTGGTAGAAAGGCAGAGGGTGTGCTTAACAGCGTCTCTGTTAAGAGAGAAGGCCACTTCTTTTGAGCTTGGTTTCACATAATAAATAATCAGAGCCTTCAGTTTTCTTTAAGTGCTTCACTCTTCTGTTGCTTGGCTGGATTTTAAATTGTTTTACGAGATCCAATATAGTGAATAGTTTCCTTTCACCTATTACCAGAGTGCTTGGTCTGGGGAACCTGTCTTATAATCATAGGCCGGGGCCTGGCATTCCTCCTCACCACCCTTTCCACATCCTGATGTATCATTACTAAATGTCATGGTTCCAAAGGCATTGTAGTGCCATCTAGTGGTAAAAAGTATGCATTTTCACTTCACACAACAGTGTGCATGTGTGTGGGTGTATAGTATTTATATATTTATATATTATATATATGCACATATATATCACACAAATCTGTATGTGTATATATAGGATGTATACGTTGCAGGGGGAAGGAGATAGCTTCCTGTTGGGAGTTTGACAAATATAATATGAACCTGAAATTTCACTCTGGTGTGACAGAGAAAGAAAAAGACATTTGACTGTGGGAACTGATTCAGTATTCATTATACACTTAATTTTTAAGCTTTTCAAGTTTCCAAATCACCTTTTAAGATTACTCTGCCATGTTCCCACAAGCGTCAAATCTAGCATTTTGTTACTGATCCCACATTGCCTTCCATGTGAAAGTATGGAATATGAAATGCCCCCCTTTTAAACATAAATTCTAGCTGTGTAATCATAAATATTTGGATTGTGTAACCAGATATTCTGAAAATATTTTTTCAACTTGCTGCTTAGCCTACAATTTCTTTGATGGGATTAAGGTAGCATCCAACATAAAGTATACCTCAGTAGTAATTTGGACAGAAAGTACATCTTCAAAACACTTGCCAAACTAATGAATGAATTAATTGTATCCCTTGTGGGAATGTTAACATCCAGTTGATCTCTTTTGCAGAAGCCAATGCATGCTTCCTGATTGATAGACGTAATTGCGTACCTGTGAAAGCACATCACAAGTCAGGAGAATTAGCCCAACTCCTTAGAAGCAGATTCAGCACTAACACCTATGATTCTTTAAATCTGGAGTAGGCAGAGGTTTCAGGGGTCAGTTCCACCTCCGCAGAACCCACCTAAGGGCTGCACTCCCCCCTTCCACCATGACTGGTCTAGAATGGTGTTGTAGACATTCTATAACTAACTGAACAAATAAATAAATTGCAGCCACATGACCGATTTTGCTGGTGAAAATTGGCACTTGAGTGGTGGTATCAAAGCAGTGGTTTGCCACTGAAATTCCACCATGAGAGGGTGGCAAAAGGGACAGAGCAATTTTTTGAAAGGAAAATACCCCCTTTTTAGCTGCCACCCTGCCAAAAAGGGGCCAAACTGAACCCATTCTCCAGTCCCAATCCCCTGTCCCACACACACATTTGTACCCAGGAGGAAGGAAAGGAAGTGGAATCCTGCTTCCTTTCCTACAGGTTAACACTCAGGGAAGACCGACTGGGCACTTGGACCCACATGCTGCTTTCTGCTGCTAACGTTCTGGGGCACCAGCAACACACTGTGTATGCAATTTATAGCACCTGGGAAGGTAGTTCTCTCCCCGCCCCCTCCACCCACTGGTAGAGACTTTCTTCCAGGGATGCTTTTCCCTTTGTTTGGGCTCCCTGAGCATCCTTCTGCCGGGACTCTGCTTTGCCCATACAGAAGCAGAGAATTCAGTTTGCTCAAATGGCCCTGGTTTGACTAGTGGCAAGACTTCATGAGACTGGATCATTTTTATAGGTATCCAGCACTTGTTGGAACTACAAGCCAGAATCCGTTCAGAAGGCAAATGAAAATGGGCTTTGCCAGTTCTTTGCTGGCCTTCTTGTTCCCAGGATGCACTGGAGTTTTCCCATGATCTTGATTCATGGGGCTGTGTTCTCTTCATGGATGTTCTGTGTTCTCTTCATGGATGAATCATCTTTATGTGTAAGGGATGGGGGCAGGAAGGATAGCCTTATAAGTCTGGGCCATGTGAACTGAGGTGACCCTCTTGGTAGTGCAACTTTTGGTTCAGAGCTTCACCCAACTGCTTATTCTGTGAATTGGGTTGGGGGGGATGTGGGGGAATTTAAGCTACTGTTCATTTCTGCAGGAATTCCAACTCTTTCTTTCACCACCTTTTTTCCAGCTGAAGAAGTTGCTTCTTTCTCCATCCAATGTGCCTCCAAGCTATGAGGTTCAGAGAGAGGGGAGTGTGTGGCGGCAAGGAACCCCCAAATCCAGACCCCAGCGACTTGCAGCAAAGGTATTATTCCTTTTAGCATCTCCAGCCCACTCAGTGTTCTATTATCATTCAAGATCAAATCCAGGTTTTTATAGGTACATCAGAAACTGCCTAACATACAGTCAAACCTCTGGTCTATTTAGTTCAGTATTTTTACACCAGGAGTGAGGAACACCTTTCGGCCTCAAATTCAATTTCAGAGAACTTCTCAGGAGACTGATGGTTGTGGTAGGTGGGGCTTGGAGGCAACAGGGCAGGTCTAAGGGCAGAAGGTGTGGGGCTCCAGATACCATCATATTATAGCATAAAACTCTTACCGCCAATAACTAAGTTGTAGGAGAATCCAGGAAACTGCCTTTAAACAGATTGGCTGTGGCTCACTAGGTTATCAGATAAGAGCTTTACCCGACCCTTAGGACTACTCTTGGGCTGATTTCCCTTACCTTCGTCCTGCAGTGCAGAAGGTTGGATATTTTCTGCAGCCTCCTAGGATTGTGCTTTCAGCTGCAGATTGTACAGCCCGAAACATCTAAGTGGGCCTTTGAGGGCAGCTCTGTTGAGGATGTATTAAAATGGGCTAGCCTAATTAGGCAAAATCTTTGCTTTCCTCTTTAAACAAAATCAATGCATCTTAGTCTCACTGACTTAAATAAGGCTGCATTTTAAAATGGGGATAGTCCAGTGGCAAGCTGCAGCAGACCACAGTACATTTTCATCTGGCCTCTTGTATACACACCAAACTTTGATTAAGGTGTGGCAAGATGTTTGTCCACAGTCTTGCTTGTAAATCCCTCCCCACCACACACACACACCATGACCCACCACAAAAGATAACACAGATAAAACGAATTTCTATGTTTTATAGAAATGTTTATGTTTCAGTGCTCTATCTCACTTTGGGATTTTTTATGCACAATTTCCTAGCCATGCATCTGAGGGTGTGTGCTCCATTACTAGGAGACCTTTTATTGACAGGTGACACCCACTGTGTTATCTAGAACATGGCTACGCTTGGGAGGCTTAGGCTTTCTCCTTGTGGGCCCTGGACCATTGTTTGGCAAGGCAAACAGACACCGGTTTAAATGAAAGACCTGGAAGAGCAGGACACTTTTGTGAAGATCTGTGTGAGCCTTTTCAAAGCAAGGACAGTGCTGTTTCCCTTAAGGCCTTCCTTTGGGCATACTGTGTAGCCACTTCCTTGAGCACTGTGTACAAAGCACCTCCTATTCTCACCAGACTCTCTTCCAATTTAAACTTTGCTGTGATCTTTCTCCCTCTTCTTTCTCACTCCCATTCCTGACCCAAATTAGAGCACAGCTTTCTAGCAGCTGATTGAATTGACTTCAGCTGGGCAAAGAGCTGCACGTAAAGTTGCAGAACCAGTCCAGTGCTTTCTGTTAAATCCTCTGAAATCCACACAAGATGCCATGAAAGATTTTCCATTTTGATGACAGAAATTGCTCAGTACATTAGACAAGTAGATTTTAGATTGCATGGTAAAGGCAGGACAGAAGGTGGAGCTGAGCGGATGCTGTCTCTTCTGCACCAGCTAGAAAGAAGGGGAAGTTTAAAAAAAAAAACACCCTGTTACATACCTGCATGTAGTCACATGCACGCACGCACACACAGACAAGAAATGTAATGCATGCATTAGGAAGAATCTATTTGATCCATCTTGCCCTGAAGGAGGTTTTAAAAATGCTGAGATTGCTTTGCCATCTTACATAAATTAGCTTTTATGTAATTATTTATTTGACTTGTATGCCACCCATTAGCTATAAGGCTGTTTGGGCAGCTCACAACATATTATATGACAGTTATTAAACATAATTCAAATACAGATCATATTATAAAACCAACAATAAAGATAAAATCAAGAAATAACATTGACATAAAATTGAGCGATCAGTATATTAAACTATTTAAAATAATCTTAATAAAAAGTAAAATAAATTATACATAAATGAAATAAAAATCTGACGCTAACATCATAATAATATGGCAGCAGCAAAATAACAACATAAAACTGTTAAAACAATTGAACCAAACAACTCACTTGCCAAAATAGCAGTGAAAAATAAATGTGTTTAACTGGTGCCTGAAGGAATAGTGAAATGGAGCCAGCTGGATCTCAGTGAGTTCCATAATTGGGGTGCTATTACGGAGAAGGCCCTTCTCCCTGCCATCTCCCCTTTTACTTCATCGAGGGGAGGGATATGGGGAAGGGCCTCTGATGACGACCTCAGTGATTAGGTTGGAACATATGGAGACAAGCATTCCCTTAGCGCCCTCCCAGCATATCACTTGATCTCTCTTACCCTGTACACTGAGTGAATGAGGCCCTTTGTCTCACCAGCTTAGATTTCAAACAGGTTTTTGTTTTCTCATACGTGCAGAATTGAGCAATAAAGACTAATCTGAGTTAAACTTCTATCCAGGTTTTGCTACAGCTCAGGCTAAGCACAGGGGACTCTTAGAGTGAAGAAGCCTTCCCTAGCCTGATACCCTCCAGATGTTTTAGTCTTCTGCATTTATAGAGTATGGCTAATGATTGGGAATTCTGGGAGATGTAGTCCAGGTAGCGGAGGACTGTAATAAAGAATGCGCATACCGCCAATTGCTTCGGTTGCAAGGCATGCAACTGTCCTGGAGAGCTGCCCTGCCCACCTTGCCACCTCATCACCATGCCAGCCTCAGTAGTGAGTACTTACTAGGCAGACAGGTGAACCCAGGTCACAAGGTCACCATGCAGCTTCGTTTAGTGCTATGTATGAACACACCCATGTTGTCCACAGAGGTGGCGCTGAATGGTAGCAAAGGCTAGGCCAGGAACAGCAGCTTCCTCCAAGAAGCTACCATGATGGTGCGCACAGTAACATTCCAGATAGAAGAGTTTCCTGCTTTGAGACCCTTGTGTGCCATAGGGCTAGCCTGGGACCATCTCTTCCTCTTGCAAAAGCCCGTTCTGTAAGCTACTACTGCATTGCCACAGTGCTTCCTTTTCTTCTCTTGGGAGAGGCATGAATGGGTAAGAGTTGGAGAAAGGAGAGCAAAGAAACACAAAGGGAAAAGTCAAAATGCGGGGTGCATACAGGCATGGCCACTAAGAGTCAGCTCTTGGCTACAAACACAGCACAATGCAGAATGAACCAGAGCATTTCAGAAGGCAGGTGCTGATTCCACTTTTAAACACCTGCTTACACAATAACAACGTAAAATTTTACTCATTTTAAATGAATTTAAATTTTATTCATTTGTGTTTATTCATGTTCATTTCCTATAAAATCCCCTTGGGGCCACAAGCCTACCTGAAGAGTTTGGTGTCAAGTCACCATTACTGGGTGCTATGAAATGCATTCTTTTTTCATGAAATCTGAGGTTGCTTCCTGTGATATGCTTAGCCACCACTGCAATGATATCTACCTACCTACCTACCTATAGTTTGTATGATACGCTTAGCCACCACTGCAGTGATGTTTGTTTGTTTATAGTTTGTACATGTCGTCCAATACCACCGCCTCTGGTGATATGGACTCCTTACTTACTCCCTACCTTGCCATGTTTCTAGAACAGCTCATTCTTATATAATTGTTTTAAATTGCTGTGCAGCATCCAGAACGCCTTGGCTATTGGGCAGTGTAAAAATGCAATACATCAATAAAGAGATTTTGCCTAACTCTCCATTCTCTTTGTTCTTGAAGGTGGATGGTGGCCGAGACAAAAAGCCGAGCTTTCTGCAGGCTCAGAGTCGGAGCTGCACTGAGCTTCACAAGCACCTCACCTCCGCCGCCGCTCGCTGCCCGCACACAAAAGCCACCTGGCCCCCCAAGGAATGCTGCAGTCATGCCGGCACCAGCAGCGGTAGCAGTGACCCCGAGAGACACTGTGTCCACAATGGAGAAGACAGTGACTCCAGCGAGGACTTGCTGAGCGACGGGAACCTGGCAGCGACGCCGCCCTCCTCTTCTGAGGAAGGTGCTGGAGGGAAGGAGCTGCATGCTGCGGTGGAGCTCATCCGCTACATGCACACCTACTGCCTTCCCCCAAGAAAGCTGCCCCCCACCCAGCTCGCCGACATGAAGCACCAGCATTTCCACAGCCCCTCCAAGCGCGCAAAGCCAGATTGCCCGCTGCAGAGGCCTCTGCTCTGGGGAAAGGACAGCGGCCCATCCAGCTCTTGGTGTCCCTCCACAGGTTGCTCCCTGTCCAGAGACCCTCCTTCGGAGTTCTCCATTCTGAGGGAGCTGCTCACCAGAGACCTTGCATGTGATGTGAGCAAGCCATACAGACTGGCCAAGCCTGTGTACGCCTCCTTGGCCAGGTCACATCCTTCCAAATCCGCAAGAGCTCTGCCGCTCGAGACCAGGGGGGGATCCGCAGAGATGTGTAAGTCCATGGCGAAAATGCCAGCGGAAGCAAAAGCTGAGCCCAGACATACTCCCAAAGCAGAGTCTAAGAAAGAGACTGGCAGCCCTGCAGAGGAAGAGGGTGCAAAGCGAGTGGCTCTCTCGGCCCAGCCAGCCTCTGGCAAGGCGGGTCGCAAGCAGGAGAGCTCTGTATATGCAGTGCGGCGCTCCAAAAGACTCAACCCCGAGCTCAGCCTTTGGCTGTCGTTGCTTGACGAGTGCCCCCTGGATTCTGCTGCATCCACACTGGCAGCAGGGAACAAACCTGCCTCTGCAGAACCAGCCCGGTGTTCAGCTCTGCAGGACTTTGACACAGAAGTGCCGGCAGCGGAGGTAGAAGTGAGCGGTGCTGACGAGGTGGACGGCAGATATCAGAGCCTCCCCATGGAGCTGCAGACCCCTTCTCCAGAGAGCTCCGGAGAGAGTGAAGCATATGAGATCAGCGAAAGACCATGCTGCACAGGTACAGTGGGAAGGAGGGCGGTGGCGTTGTTCTGCAGGCCCAGCTAAGCATTCTTTCAGTCCCAGTGAGGCATGATTAGGTGGCTGTTCAGTCTGGCCCTGTGTCAGTCTTCCTCCCTTTGTTGGTAATTGGAAGGTAAAGTCGGATCGGTATGTACCCCCTAATTTCCATGTAGACATCAACACAGTCTTATATGGACCCTCCTCCTCCCAGCTTCAGAGATGGTGAGCTGAGTATTGGGCGTGCCTCAGATCAACCTGAGATACAGTTTTCCATGGTTTTTGTCCTGTGTTCAAGGAGAAAGGAGAGAGTAGCAAAATGACAACACTTTCAGTGCTGGTTTAAACTGGGCAAAGTGTTACCAGGAAGTGAAGGTGCTGGAGCAGCCTGACATGTTTCATGGGGAGACTCGCATACGGATGGGGCAGCAGAAAAGAGGCCAGAATTCAGAGCTCCCAAAGGTGTGTAACCCTGACATTGCAGAAGGAACAAATTGGGCAAGGTGTGCGAGAGCCCCGGTCAGATCTCCAAGGTCTGCTTAACATTTGCAAGCAGGCACAGTGGGACCTGAATTGGTTCAGGGCCCATTTCACTGTGACATGTCCCAAAGTTAGCTTCCTTCTCCCCCGGTGCAATTGGTTGTGGGAAGGGGTGATGTAAATCAGCAAAACTGTGCAATGGGGTAAAGGTTACATACTCCTTCCTTGCAGTCCCAGTCCAGTCTCCCCTACAACATTGCCGCTTTTATGTGTAGAAAAGGATGTTGGGAGATTTAATCGCAGATCACATATATCTTAACAGACAAGGCTCTTGGGAGACCATTAGCCTGCCTCATGTGAAGATGTTCACAGCGCATCCAGATGTCTTCCATGTTGCCCCTCAATGCAAAAAAATCTGTTAAGGAGAAAACAGAGCAGCGGTGCAATTGCTTGGGACCCTCTCCTTGGAAACACCCCTAGCTTGGTCTTCTCTTGCACTGACAACTTAGCCTAGCTTAATGGTTTCAATATTAGCTCATTGGATCATCCTGCTTTACTCTGTTTTTCTTTCAGAAGCACCCAGGTGTCTGTTGCTGCCATTGGCACAAACGTAAGTGTCATGCCAAAAATTCATTGTGTTCAAGAATGACAGATCCAAGTGTCGGGGAACTGGCAGATCTGACAAATAGCATTCTCCAAAATTTGTGGCACCAGTAACTTATCCTGCTCTGTAGCAGTGCTCAGCCAGAAACAGTTTTCGTGGCATTCATATCCTGGTAACGGCAGCACATGGCTTGCTTTACTGTCTCATCATAGTGGCAAGTAGGAACATACTTTAAAAAGGAGCCCCATCACTGGAGGTGGCCCATCATTGCGGTGTAACATCATTGACTGGAGATCCAACTAATCATACATCTACCAGAGCAAATAGCAAAACATCCTGTTGGGGCCATGTTAATTGTGGCCACTTCGTTAGGGCAGGGCTCAAAAGTATTGCACACCAGTGGAGAGCAAGCAAAAGGTGCTTCAGTACTTAGCTTAGCCCAGCCTTCCCTGATTAGGCGTTTTCCAGGAGTTGAACTGCAATGTTCTTCATCACCAGCCACATGCTACCTCAGGAGCTGTGGTCCAATACCTCCAGAAGGCACCAGGTTGGGGGAAATATTCCCTGAATATTTGGGGAATTCAGACACCTGCACCTATTAAATACTTCTTTAGGGTAGTGCTAAGGCTGGTCTTGGTTTTTCCAGACTCATGATTCTCATGGGTTTGGGTGTAGCTCCTTCTCAGTTATGTAGGCCCTTCCATATACAAGAATGCATAAGTTTATATAACAAAGAGATGGCTGTAATTTTATTCTAATTCAGAATCAGCTTGTTAGAATATACCATCAAGTTTGTTCTCATGTGGTTTGCTGGCGTGGGATGGCTGATCTCCACTGACATTGCCAGAGGACTTGCGTCCTTGGCATCACGGAGAGGATGGGCAGAATGCAGCTAAAGAGGACTTGTAAGGCAGGAGCTTAGTGTTGCTTTTGGCTAACAGCTAACATTCTGTAGGCATATAGGAATGTGCAAGTCCTTCAGGAGATGCATGTTCAAACAGCCCAAGTGCAGCAGAAACGTTCCACCACTGTCAGTCGCATCTTTGTGGTGGAAGACCTGTCACATGTATGCTGTTCGTTACATTTCTTGCAAAGGAGGACGTACTGTGGTAGGATGGCACCAGTGGCATCTTTTCCAGAAGCCTGTCCAAGGCTTTATGGATGTCTCTTGCAAATATTCAGTCTCCCAGCCAGTGTCGTCATCATGGAAGCCTGGGATGAATGCAAGAAGTTGTTCTTTTGGATTAGTGCTAATAGCATTCATAGTTCCGGTCCATCTTCTTTGAGGAGGAAGACACCAAAGGGGAAGTGTATGTTAGCTTTCAATGTTTGCCTAAATACACTTCCACATGCAATGATACTTAAAAATGAATAATTATTCTTATGTACATTTTTATACCATCCAGTAGCTGAAGCTCTCCTAATCAGCTGAAGCTTCATGGCAAATTGTACGGATCTTGTTGCCAACGTTAGAAGCAAAATATCACAAACATGGCTTTGTGGAATACTGAACAGAAGTGAGAAGATCCAATATAAAAAACAAGTTTCTTCTCAAGCTGTTCATGAACTGGGGTGGTCGTCTATGTGCAGGCCACATCCCTCAGTTCCTGCCATCTGGTGATCGCACTGCATCAGACTTGCAGGTGACCATGCCTTAAACCTTTGACTTAGATGCTGCATCAGTATAACTAGAACAAGTCTGAAAGAACAACATCTTGCATTCACCTCATGCCTTTATGGGGATAAAATTGGCGGAGAGCTTGCGCTACATTAGAAGGAATGTTCTCAGTGATGTTGCTCATATGTGGGGAAACTGAGCCATCTGTGATGGAATCCATCCTGTGCTGCAAATGTGCTTTTAAAATAAATGTCCAATGAGTCCTTCTCATTCTAATTCTAATGCTTGCCAAGCAGCCCTGAAGTGCTGGCCCTGGTACAGTGATGAGTTGTGTTTTCCAGGTTTAGGTGACTCAACAAGCCATCATGATACCAAGAAACCATAAAACAGACCGCTGTTCCTGTTTGTGGTTTCTAAAAATCAAATACACCATGCTGAAGCACCATGGAGAGGCTCCACTTTATTGTGTGAACAATGAATTTTCTTTAATATACAGCTTGCTTCTTCGATAATCATACCATCCTTCTTTTCTTTCTTTAGAGAACCAACGTTTGGGAAGCGCAGTTTTGAGCAAGTACTGACTGTGGAGCTGTGTGGCACTGCAGGTAGGAGCAAGGTGCATTTTATAAGCTTGCCACTTCAAAGGTGGCTCATTCCAGATTTGGATAAAGAATGCGACAAAGCCAAGAATCAGGTGGTAACTTTAGAATTTGCAGCCTGGTCTTACAACCACTGACTGGGAGGAAGGGGAATCCAGGCACCTCTAAGTATTATTCCTCCTCCCCACCTCCCGAAAAGGAAGGTCCATAAGAGTAAGTACCTGTTCAGTTACCACAAGCTTGGGAGCTGCTGTAGCATTTTCCACAGGCTAGATAGAAATAGTGAGGAATCCTCATTGAAGTCCCATTACATAAGAACATTTGAAGCATCTACAAAGGGGCAGTCATGAATGATGAATAAATAAGCCCAACTCCTTTGCATTACTTTGACACTTCCATATTGAAAGGACTTTACCCTTTTGTTTTCTTTGGGGGGATAAGGTCTCACACCACCAACTACACCACCATACAAGCCTTCCGAGGAGGACCTGTACAAGCCAGACATTCACCAGAGGCCAGCAAAGGAGACTGCCATCATCACCAGCGCTGAGCCGCAGCTAACGATTGCAGATGGGGCAACTTCTAGGAAGCCCCAGAAGAAGCACCCAGTGCGGACAGAGCTCTATGCACACCTGAGTCGGTCTGCCACTCACCCCGAGCAGCATGGGGTGTTGAAGCGCCCATTCTCACGCTCGTTCGGTGACCACGACTACTGCCAGGTCTTGAAGCCTGAGGCCTCACTCCAGAGGAAGGTACTGAAGTCCTGGGAGCCTCTGTGCCATGCGGAAAGCCAACACAAGCGGAGAGTGCCTGATATGCCCTACTGGGATGCAAGCAAAATCGAAACCTCGGTGAAGGAGGGCAGCAAACAGCTGAGAGACCAAGAGATCCGAGCCAGCTTGACAAAACACTTTGGTCTCTTGGACAATGCCCTAGATGATGGGCAGATGGCCTTCTGCAAGACTCCTGAATATGACACTGTCTTTGAGGACAGTTGCAGTGAGATTGGTTCCCCATTGGAGGAGGAGGACGAAGAGGAGGAGGGCGAGGGTGAGGAGGAAGACGAGTGCTGCACAAATCCATTGGAATCCAAGATGTGTCCATACAAGAATCCTCTTTGTAGGACCAGTTTGCACTATTGTTCCCGAAGCAGGTCTGATTCAGAGTCTTCATGCTGCAGGTCCAGGTCCCCAGCAAGCCGGTGGACTTTCAGGTACAGTCACTCACATGGTCCTTGGGAATGGGGCTCAGATAGGCCAGTGGCAGGCAAGTCATTAGTGGGCTACATTGGCCAGCCTCCCAACTCCCTTGCAGAAGATCCTTCATACAAGCAAGTAAAATCCTAAGATAATACAAAAATACCTATTCTGCTAATGGTGACCCTCCCACAGATACATTAAGGCAAAGGCCAAGACTTGTAAGCTGTTCAAAGCAGGAATTTTTGCTTGCTTATGTGAGAAGTGAGTACTCCAGCTCCCATCAGCCCCAGCCACCATGATCAAGGATGAAGTATGAAGTCCCAACAACATCTGGGGACTGCAGCTTCCTCACTCTTGTTCTGCTCTGTAAAGTGCCAATATAAATAATCAGTACAAATAATAAGAACAGGAATGTCTGAGAAACTCATTTCAGTTTGGTTTTGGCAGGTTTGCCAATTCTACATCTTTCACAAATGAGCACAGACCCAAAGGCAGTGCTGTATGCGTTTCTGCTGTATGCGGTGATACTCACACGATAAAAATGCCTTTAGAAAATTCATATGACCAGGTGCATTTAAAAGTAGGTGCAAGGATCAGTGGGAGAAAATGAGTACATTTCAAAATGCACACAACAGGATGCATATGTCTAAAAGTATACACAGATCATACATGAATTTTCATTTTAAAAGAAAAAAATGGAGTGGTACAGATATAAGTTAGAACAAGCAACATGGTGGATATCAGAGAACCTTGAGAAAGTTGACTTTTGCTGGTTTGCGTTTTCCTTGACAAGAACACGGTTCATTTGAAATACACTGACTGGCGACCTCTCCCTCTGTAAGGGTGCGGACCCGATTGTGTGGGTCCGCCCCCGGAGCCGGATGGATCTGGAAGGATTCCTGAAGACCCTGGGGGAGTTTCCGGCTGACAAGACGGGTGCTTCTGTCGAGGCTCTGGTCGAACTGTGGAACGGGGAGATGACCAGGGCTGTAGACACGATTGCTCCTAAGCGCCCTCTCCCACCAGGCAGAGCCCGCTCTTCCCCTTGGTATACCCCTGAATTGAGAGCGATGAAGCAGGTTGGGAGACGGCTAGAGTGTAGGTGGAGGAAATCACATGATGAATCTGACCGAACACACTTGAGAGCCCACTATCGGGCCTATGCTGTGGCGGTGAGGGCGGCGAAAAAGAAGTTTTTTTCCGCTTCCATTGCCTCCTCACAATGCCGTCCGGTGGAGCTTTTTCGAGTGGTGCAGGGCCTGGTTTGTCCAGGTCCGAAAGAAGACCTGGTTCCACCCTCAAAGGCCCGCTATGATGACTTTGCCAGGCATTTCAGGGAGAAAATCGCTCAGATTCATCACGAGCTGGATTCCACTATTGATACAGAAGTTTTAAGGGAGATGCCAATGCCGCCGTCTGGTCCCGAATTATTGGATGAATTTCAGTTATTGCGGCCCGATGATGTGGACAAGGTGCTGGACGAGTACGTCCCACCACTTGCCTATTGGACCCTTGCCCGTCTTGGTTAATAAATAATTCCAAGCACGGGATTGGGACCTGGATTTTGGAAGTGATTAACACTTCTCTGAGGGAGGGTCGGGTGCCTGCCCCTTTAAAGGAGGCGGTAGTCCAACCGATCCTGAAGAAGGCGTCACTGGATCCAGAGATGGCCACTAATTATAGACCAGTGGCCAACATCCCGTTTCTGGGCAAGGTGTTAGAGCGAGTGGTGGCGGGACAACTCCAAGCACTCTT